CATGCAAGAACAATATTGTGTACTTGGAACTATATATACACCACAATAAAGACACGGCTCACGGTTTGAACATTTCTTTGAAACGAATTAAATGTATTTGACTAATTATGTATACAAATAATTTAGCACATGAAATAAAAAATTATTATTCACATAAATTTATTAAATTGTAAATGTGTTGTTTAAAGCCAACGGCACACGATACTACATTTCCTACTGGATTGCTTACGAGAGCCAATCAGGATTTAGCTTTAAGTCACCTGATCTAAAACTCTGAATCCTTATTGGATCTCGTAAGCAATCCAGTAAGAAAAATAGTATCGTGTGCCGTTGGCTTAAGTGAGATACAATTTGTTATAATTTTCCAGATTCTTACACTGAGAAAATGTCTGATTAAATATAATCGGATAATCCAATTACATAATAACAAACTGATATATTCGATTAAAAATATGATCGGTTTTGCGATCAAATTTTATTGGTAACTGCATTTCATCGGATGTATCCATAATTTAATAGAGAAAATTAACCATCGGAAACACTATTTCATTGTTTATTCGATGGAAATTTTTCTCACAATTAGTTTTGTTGATGCACAAAACATAGTACGAACAAATTAATTGCTGCAATAATTTGGTAAACATATATTCATGAATTAAGACTTACTGTCGCCAGTACATAATTAACCGATGTAGGAAAATTGATAAACGACGCAACTGGCAATTATAATTAGAGAAAATTTGCGAAAAATATATTCACGAGATAAAATAAAACCCGTGACAAAACTAATCAATTACATTGTAACGGAGTAATTAGCAGTAAATGCATTCTTATCATATCTCACTGATACTTATATTTACTGGACTTACTGCTTTGAGCTAACTGTCCATTACAATATAATTGATTAGTTTTGACTCTGGTTTTATTCTATCTTGTGAATATATAGTTTATGTTTCTAGGACTGAACGGCTGATTGATCAGGTAGATCAGATACATACATATTATATATCGCGATATCGCGTTCGCGTTGTAATTTATCAAGAAACGTAGATACCCTGTTGTTACGCACGATTGGTTTAGTTTTCTTATTTTTTTGCAACTCAGGATAGCATCTTTGATAATTAAAGATTGCACCAAGAAAATTCCATATACTAAATTCAGGCCACATTACATCGGTGAAGTAGATGTAGGTGTCAGCAATCTAAAAAAAAAATTGGATAAATTACCGCCTCGACGAATTATAGGAGAAGTATATTCAAGCTACAAGAATGAAATAGTCTTCTTACTTGCCACATGAGGAAATCGCTAAGTCGAGTCTCTCCAGAAGTACGAATTAATAAATCCGGATTTGGAGATCTGTTAAAGTACAAACAGTCACTCACCAGGTCTTCATCAACATCTTCTGGCAGAATTTCAGCACGCTTTACACCTCTTCCTATATCCTTAATTGCACTAGTAACTTCATCCCTTGCTGCAGATATTAAAAAATATAAAACTTATGTTTTTTAATCATAATATTATATATACACGCATTACACTCTTTCTGTATATTATACATGTATTATATATAATTTTATGTGTGCTTTGTATAAAAAATAAGCAGCTGCGAATGTAGATGTGACTTACGATGATCACACTTACATGTATAAGGAAGAGCAATATTTAAAATTACGTTGTTATTATCCTTAGTGATTACAATAGTTTCGGCAATTAACTTGCATAAATCTTTTGGGAGCAAGGACAAATTGCCAATCACACGAATGCAAAGTCCAGCCTCGTGCAGTTTTTCCCTGAAAATTGTTGTACGTGTTCTATATAGCTGAACTGGCTGCGCTGGTTCAGAGTTTATCTTTCTCCTTCTAACACAGGGGAGGAAAAATTGAACTCTGAAATAGCGCAGCCAGCTCAGCTATAAAGAACAGTCAATTCTATATCTTACACCCTAGTGAAAATGCTAAAAGTGAACGGTTTTGTCTCTTTCCAAGACGGTTAGAGAGACGAAGCTACTCACTTTTTAGCATTTCCACTACAGTGTAAGATACAGAATTGTATGACAGATTCAAGATCTCGCAAACCGCTGCAACGCGACGACCAATTGAAAATGCCGAGTGTCCCAGTGAGAAATGATTTGTCGATCGATGTCAAAACGATGTCGAATCGACATCGATACCGTCAAATTGGCGTCGATTCGACATCGTTTCGACATCGATCGACGAATCATTTCTCACTGGGGTACCTCTCGTCCAAGAGACGCCTGAACTTCTGCTTTACAAGCTTCATGAATTCGTTGACTTCCTCCTCGGTACGTTGAAAATTTTCTATACTAAAAGCATACACCGTGACCTCCGTAATGCCGAGGACCGTGCACAAATTTACCATCTCGATCAATTTATCCAACCTATCGTAAATAAAACACGAGATATAAGACGAGAACAACGGGCAACTCTTCGAACACGCTTACCCTCTCGAGTGTCCCTCCCCCTTTGCCAAATTCCTTGTATTCGCATAACGTCTGTTCCCATCCATGATTAATGCCACGTGTCTAGGTATCTGGCCAGTCTTGACAATCCTTAAAATCAGGGATTCAAACCACCTGAGGATGTAGTTAAACATCCACATCATACCTGAACTCTTACGTGCGAGCGCGTCAAGGTACATGCTTCCAACCGAGCCCTTGTCGAGAGCGTTTCTATCTGAATGGCTATCCCGTAGTCAGTACTCGTCGGCGAACATGCCTACGTGCAGCGCTCGCGCTCAAAAACAATTTTTTGTTACCGTGGTAAGCCAATCGTGGTTCACTCCAAATATTTTGCTGCTGTAACTATAGATTTATAAGCCACAGCAAACGAGTCGCTGTCGCACCTAATACAACAGGCACAGCGGCAAAGTATTTAGTTGTCACAAATGTATATTAACTGTTCATATCTTGCAACTGAAGTTTAGTCGCCACATGCAGTTTTTAGCTACGGTAATTACCTTATCTTTCCGTGTGTTAACACCATAGTGACGATATGACCTTCCAGTCATGGCCTAACCTTTACGCGGCAGTAAAACTGAAACAAGACTATTTGCGACATGGCTTCCACTCCGCGATAGTGTTAATTATTTGACTTATCTACGAATTTCGAGGCTATGCAGTAACAGGTTGTCGCCGAAGTGCCCTCGATGCCTCCTGCTGACGCAATGCCAAGCGATGGCTGTGTTCTCTAGAAGTTAACGCTTAATAAGCGCTTTATGCTGATTGGATAGATCTAGAAGAATAGCTCTATTTCAGCACAGATCTGAAAGTATAATCCAATGAACGCAAAGCGCTTAGCAAGCGCTAACTTCTGCTGGACACAGGCGATGTCTACTCATGTGACTGCTTCTTTTAGGGCCAGTTTCACAAACGTCAGTTAACTGTTAACCAGAGTTCAGTCAACTTCCTATCCTTTTCTATTTTGTTATCTAAGAAGAGACAGAGAATCAATTAACCTTCGGTTAGCAGCTAACCGAAGTTTGTGAAACTGGCCCTTACTCATCTAGCACGTGCCGGATCAGCCGGACGAAGCTACCGCAGGAATTCGCGATATTTCCCTCGCAGTGTCAAGCACGAATGTCCGCCGATCGCCGGTAGAGATCCTTTGATCAGAGTTACAAAATAACGTTTAAGGGTACTATTACATTTGTCGTACGACAAATTTTTCAAGCGTGTCGATTGGCCGCTGAATAGTAAGTTTCTAGATACTCGAGAATTTTACTATCCTTCAGCCAATCAATACGCTTAAAAACTTTGTCGTACGACAAATGTAATACCAGCAGCCATTGGACTCACAATCAGTGGCGGAAAATTTAACATCCAAAGCACGAGATTTCGAACAAAAGAAATAAATGATACAAATAAACAAGGAATAAATTTTAATTTATCGCTTATATGCTATGCGTCGCCATAGTTTTACTATTAAAATAACGTCTTTTCAAATCTTTGGTTCTTTTTACATGTTATTTTACATCTAAACATAGCATATCTACGAAAAATTTTGACTTTTAAATTGTGACAACTTGGAATGAAATCGCGCTCAATATTAGAAATGAATAATTTTTCGAATTGTGTTTTTATATTATGTAATACTATATTATTTGTTTGTTTTTGATATTGTCGAAATATATATTTCATTTTTTAAAAACTATTAAATGACGCCCGATTTACAAAAAAAATAAAATATTTTTCTTAAAACATCTTATTCCAACTAATTTATCATATATTAAATTTTCGCCCTTGGTTGCTCTTTGCATATAAGCGCCTCCCTAGAAGCACAATTCCTTGGCTGTACATTAGTTATGTTGGCAGTGAATTGGCCAATATTTCTCCAATATAACACCAACATTGGTCCTAAAATAAATGCAAATGTACTACTGATATTGTACCTAGATGATTATTTAGTATTGGATTGATTGTATTAGCAAGATTGCCCAATAAAATTGTAATATTGAGTATAGAATAAATGCTAATGTAACGCCGATGTTACGTATCAATAATTGCACGGTACTGTGTTTACATAGAATTAAAGTGCATTGCACAAATATGAGGCCCTCCACCACCCCCGCCAATTTCGATCGGCGGTCCTCTTTTCTTTACAATAATCAAACTAAAAAACAAAAAATTTATCATTATTATATTTTCATCACAATTTATTTTATAATATATTTCAATATATTTTTTTTTTCGTTTTTGATATAAAGTCGACCAGCATAGTGTAGATTTTGCCGCGTACTTTAATTCCGTAAAAGAGTTTTGCATCTCAGTAAACCCAATCGAAAGATTACTTCGGACAGAGAATATCGATAAAACAGACGGCTTTAGGATCCCCTTAATTACTGGATCGTTTCTGCGATCTCTCGTTCCCGTGGCCGCCACAGCGCGAGCCTCCCCCGCGACGCAACGGTTCAACACGAAAACGTGGAACTAGTTCGCCTTAACGACGACGTGCCCCCGTACCGTATCAGTTGCACGAGTTCGGATTCACGCCACGCTAATCATAACGGGGCCGCGGAGCGAAAGTTACGAGAGTAAGGCAAGGCGCTTGCCTTGTCGGCGCGGCGAATCGGAGCTCCGAGCGGAACGACAACGGCTTCCCCGTAACTCGATTAGTGGAGCTCGTGGTGTAATATAAAATCTGAGCCGTCGTACACACACCACACCGATGTCACCGGAAGCCGTAAGACCAGTAAAAAGAAGGATGACTGGCTTTATACAGCGCAGCCGCGCGTTAAAGGGCTTCCTTTTTTTTTTAGCGGTGTTGCTTTGTCGAAGCGTCACGCTTCTCCCTTGCCAGGTCGCGTGTGCGCGATGCTTATTGAAAACGTTTCTCTACATCCGCACGCTCTCATTAATTATTTTACATACGGACCATTTTGCCAAACTTACAAGACGTCGCCCGCGTCTTGGTTTTCCTTTGAATCTCCGCGAAGTGGCACGCCAGAGGAGTCTCTTCTCCCTTTCGCGCCAGTGGCCTGGCGCGTCCGCGAATTTTTTGTCCAATCGAGTTTCCGAGCGGAGTCCGCGCCCGGAATGATGAAAGGGATTCCGCGGGACCGTAAAATAAAGCTCGATATCGCGGCTGAAAGGGACGGAGAGGGGCGGGAGTACTCGCGCCGTACGGCAAAATCTGTACGCTATAATTTCGTCGGGCACGTTCCATCGGACCGATCTTTGTCTCGGTAAATGGAGGCCCTACCGTTCGCCCGCAATTCGAGGGTCAGGCCGCGCCCTCGTCCTTCACCCGCGCGGGATTTTATCGAGGGTGGGCCATCGCGTAAAGTGCCCGGTTTTCCGTCCTGCCGCGAAGGACGTCGTCCTCGATCATCGTTATTTATCAACCGAGTCGAACCAGCCCGCTAATCCCCGCGGCGTTTTGTGTTGCAGGTCTCATCAGCACCAGCGGCAGGAAGCTCGATCGCGAGAATCAGGCGGAGCACGTGTTAGAGGTGAGTCAAATAATCGAGCTTTCTCTCCCGTGATCTTCCACGGCGACGTAATCGCGAGTGAGTCTGAAGCGGGAATAAACTTGGAGGCGACAGTACGGATTCTGTCGCGCGTCGCAGTCGGCGATGTTTAGACGATGTAATCAGTTTCGGAATCATCGCAGCAAATCGCGCTCCTTAATGGCGCGCCCACGCTAACAGCTGATAGACGGATTAATGCCGCGTCCTTTCTCGTTTCGCTCGTCCATTCGTTTCCCATTCGCCCACTCGTTCCTCGACGATACTATCGATGAAGTTCTCGAACCGTCGCCCTTGCCTTCTCCCTTTACTCCGACTGCTCGTCGGCACTCCCTCGATATTGTCGGAGTGGAAATGAGGAAGAAAATCGCATCCTCCGCGAGATTGAAAAGTAAAATGAGGAAAATCTGCTGCCTCTGACGATAAAAGCGAGAAGGCTAACTTGAGGGTAGCACGGCGAGAAAAGGGGTAATATGAACGGCGGGCGAGAGGCCGAGAAACGAATGGACGACTTGGGACAACGATGGGAAGAAGGACGGGTGGAAGCGTCAAGGGGGAGGTCGGGAAGAGGGGAGGCTTCGGATAGAACAACGCTGAAAAGGATACAATGGTTCTAAGAAGAAGAAGAAGAAGAAGAAGAAGAAGAAGAGTCGTAGGGTGAGACGCCGGGGAGGCAAGACATTTCTCTGGGGAAGGTCGGCGGAGCCTCCCGGGGAATTTCTACCTGCATCGGGATTAAAGAAGGAGCTCGCGATAGTCTCACGTCGTGTACGGACGGTAGACACTGGAATTTCGCCGGGGCGATAAAAGCAGGGAAAGAGGCGATACCAATTTCGCCAAGAGGCTTCCACGTAGAATACGATTGATAGGGTATAGCCTAACTTTATCCCCTACGAAACACGCCCTTTTAAGAATTTCGATATAGCTAATAGACTTCTAGCTTTTCCCCCAAAGTGCCGGAGTGCCTGAGACGTTTCGGAGGGAGTTTGTGCCGATTCGGTGTACAGCGAGTCGAAAAGTCTTTCTCTATAGATAAGAATGAGCAAAGTATCGCGTGTAACAATGTCGTAAATTCCAAAAATTCAAACGCAGTTGCGCCTCGATCGCAAAAGTTACCGTGCTCGCTTATTGTTCCGATTCTATTGCGGTTCTCCTACAAACTTGCGCCGGCATTTCTTGACACCGCTTGGGCGTTGTTGCGCGTCCAAGGAAGTTTTGCAAGTAAAATCGCAGATAATTCTTCGTTTCGTTTTTGGAAAAAAAATCTCCCATTAACTCGAACTTCGGCTTTTCCTCGAAATATTAAAAGACGATAACTTGCCGGTTACCTGCCCCGTCGTTAAAATTTCGTAGGAATCGCAGTGCGGCGTAGATCGCCGTAGCGTTCGCGAAGTAATGTTCATGTGACGCCGTAAGTTCTCGGACAAATGTAGAGCGGTTTGTAGATTTTATCTTTACGCGTATTTCGAAACGCGCTCAAAGATGGATTCCTACGTTATTCATGGCAATTTAAACCGCTCCGATACTACGATATCGCATCGGGTAATGTCGGGGGAAAAAACACACACGCGCGGGACATTACGGCGGCAAAGTATTTCGTAATTAACACAAGCATACGCTCGCTCCAAATTAAATTGCATGTTATTGGTTTTAATGACCGTACTTTCATTCGTTCGCATGTCGCGCGCAGTTTAAATTTCCAGCGCGTCCCGTCGACAAATCTAATTAAGTGCACTCTGTAACAGAATAGGATATCAAATCGCATCGTCATTTTGCACTTTAAACCGTACATCAATATTTGCCGCTAATAGGCACTGTTTGGCGGCGTTATTTATCTCTAGGCGGACACACAATATTTGAACTCTTTTGCTCCGGAAATAATATTTTCCGGAACGTACGCAACGAGCGCGGACTGGAAGACCCTTGGCAGTATTTAAGTTCGCCCCGTGTGGGTCTGATTTCGTTAGATATCATTACGGGAATTCTCCGACGGATCCCCGCGCCGCGACCAGGAAATCACTTTAAGAGGCTTTGATCCTCCGATGCGGGTTGTTAACAGCGTGTTTGTGTTCGTAACCGAGTTAAATGAGTCCCGGCTCTAGAAACAAGAGTTCGTGAAAACGATCGCCTCCCCTGTGGCCCCCGCCTTCTTGCGGGGAAAACTTGGACAATTTTGCAAAGTCTCCCCGCCACGAATAATTAATGAGTGCACAGAGCTTTCTTTCAGCGTAAGCCTCGCCGATCACCCCCTTGGTTATCAATCACGCGGATTAAATCGCTCGTTATTTCGGCTCATTATATTCCTCGAGCGAAGGACTATGAAGCTCTTAACGTCGACAAACGGTAAAAAGTCTTCGAATGCACTCTCAAAGTTTACATAAAATTATGCCGTCGCGCGAGAGCAGCTATAAGACGAGAGCTTTCATTTCTCTGTTCGGTATTCCACGTATCGAGCTTTTATTTAAAAAAAAGAGCGATGTACATTCGTCCTTCTGTATTAGTTAAAAATCCATTTTATTTTCAGATAGCGTAGTCCGCAGAGTCCTATCGTGCCGTAACCGTAGCGTAACTAGCCGAACATTGGCGAAATTGATATCGGTTGAAACAGCGATATTGGCAGCACGCTCATCTAAACGGGGCGCATATCCTGCAGACTCCGCGTGGGTCGTTAGACGTTCTTTTTACGGGCGCATCCGCTCGCTCGCCAAACTCGTTTATCTGTCATCGATATACCGCTTACAGTGTACAGCCCGATGTCAAAGGGCGAGGTGGCCGGCCGGTATTTCGGCGCGAGAGGTCAGCCGAGGTTGCGCGACCCGCTCGACCGGGGCGACCGTGTCCCTCTTTTTCATAATTCCACGCATAATTTACGAGTCCCGGGTGTATCTCCGCGGCTGGTGGCTACGCCACGGCGAGAAACCGTTTCTCCACCAACCGAGAGCGCGCGTATCTCTCGCCACCAGGCGCGCCTTTTTGCATACCGTAATACGCGGAAGCGCCCGATGAATCTGAAATATTGACAATACCGCCTCGCTTTCGACGGCGCGTGCGACGACAGTGGATCGTTCGGCGGATGGTGGTGTGTTCGATCGGACGGATTCGAGTGAATCGAGTTAAAGTTGTGTCGCGAAATGGAGATCCAACAAACCATAATGTAACTGTTACATAAATTCGGGAGCATATAAAGATGACAATGTTATATTTCACGGTTACACGTATATAATTTATAATAGTTCTTTAAAATGTTACGTAACTCACCCATGATTGAAAATACATAATATAAACGTGACAAGTGTAATCTTTGAGAAATACAGGGTGTCCGACACAAGAGGACCCATATGAAAAATGATGGTAGACTGGGTCAGATTAAGAAGAAAAGTCATGTACCGTTTTTTAAAATTTCCAACAGTTATCGAATAATTTATCGAAACGTCTGAGCGATTGAGCGCGTAGCAAGCGGTAGGCTGGGCTCGGAAGGCGTGTAGATAGCTTTGTATACCCGATCTCCTAGCAACGGAGCGACGCGCGACGAAACTCCGCCCCGGGGAAAAACAGCGAGCAATGTACTTACGTCCCGTGTTGCTCAACGCTCGCGCCCGCCCCTCGCATGCCTTCCGAGTCCGGCCCACCGCTCTCTACGCGCTCATTCGCTCAGACGTTTAAATAAGTTATTCGATAACTACTGCGAATTTTGTAAAATGGTGTGTGACTTTTCATCTCAGTCTGACCCAATTTATCACCATTTTTCGTAGGGGTCCTCTTGTGTCAGACACCCTGTATAATAAATGTTACATTATTAATACTCAGCGACGATTGCGCGTTAGACTTTCTCGAAATTGAAAATCATCCTGCCGTAGTATAAAGAAGCGAACCGGGGAGAAATCTGATCGAAGTCGCCACAAATAAATCGCAATCCGATCCTCGCTGGCAAAGAATTGAAGTACTTGAATATACTTGATTAAATATTTTGTAACTGCAAAAGGATACATGAGATAGCGCAAGTGCAATTGTTCTTATCTCTCTCGTTGGGTGTCTTTATATATGAGATACGACTATGTTGCAGTAATATATCATTTGAAGTGTAGCTGATAGGTATACATGATACATTCAGAGTTGCTGACATAGAGCCATATCTACTATGTATCATTTAGGTTACAAGTAACATTACCTGTAATATAGTTGACACTCGTGTTACGTAACATTTATATCTTTACGAAAAAGGGAGACGGCAGAGATGTTTTATATAAAGAAATTAAACGGCACTTTATAAACTTTCAGAAAGACACACGGAATTTTAACGCGATGTATGACGGTTTAATAAATATTCTATACATCTCGATTTATTTTATTTTATTATTTTGACGTATTTCAGTTATTTATTTCGATATTTTATTTATAGTTGTCTCATTAGTTTTTCTTTTCTGTTTCAAATTTGACTTTGGTTACAAATCTATTTAATATTGGCTCCGTTTTTATATTCATGTATTTTATTTATTTCTCGTTGTATACACCGTGTTTCTCTCTCCTATGTAACGTCTTTGACCGTAGTCCTACTGTGGCTGTAACATAGTTTCTCTGATATCCAGAGACGGATGACGAGGTTTTTAATATCAAAATTTTGTCGAATTAATATGTAAGTATGGTTTTTCACTCTGTCTTGACAATCGCTCTGTTATACAAACGGCTTAAAGATGCAATGTTTCTCCGAAAATTGTAGGCATATTTTATTTCCTTGAAAAGGACGGTAATTCGGATGGTCGAAACGTTGGAATGAGTTATTAAATAAACTACTTGGCCAGTTTTAGTTATTAATTTAGTTAAGTCGTCAAGTAATGCTATTATTTATATCTATGTTATATGCTCTAGTTTGCTGGGGAGGGAAGGGAACGATGAAAAATCGCAAATATGTGACGAACGACTTTACTGACGTGGCCATCGCCACCTTTCGGTCAGGCTTTCGATCCCCTTCTGTTTTCAGGTGCCCT